ACATAAAAACATGACCAAACACCAAACATAGCTACATTGTGCATAGACAGACAGACAGACAGATAGACAGACAGACAGATAGATATATGCACAATGCTGCCAGGAAAATGTAGTCTTCTCATAACTGCCGCTGGAGTTTTCCCGGCACGCAAAATGATTGTCTCGCGTGGTCTCGTGTGATTTCCCATGATCTTCTGTGATCTTGCTAGTCATCTTCAGCACAAGATCAGTCTGACTAAAAAGAGTCATGTTATCTCAAACTGATTAAATCTCATCAAAGTTGTTGAATTTCTTGTTTATCCAACATGATTTTATCACGTTTTCGTTTGAAACCTGAAATCATTGTGTTAAAAGTACATGATATTCTTTTGTTAATGTATTAACCCCCTAAGTTCATTTTTTTTGAGTGAATAGACTTCTGTTTCATATTTATTTACACAAGTAGAGCAGGTGGCTCACTCAGCAATTGGCTTGGCCGGAAGTGAACAAACACACTCAACACACACTCCCTGTGACTCTCCAACAACATAATTTATCACTTGGTGATGACTTGATGGCCTGGCCAGTTGGTTGCCCCTGCTGTAACGCTTAGCCAGCTGTGACGCTTGGCCTAATGACTGGAGTGGGCTTTCTTAATGGAACAAAAACCTGCTGGAAATTCGAGGTTTGGCAGGTTCAAAAAGAAAATCTGTCAAAAATGCAAGCAAAGAAAACTGCCCACCGCCTGCACAGGGAGGCGGATTGATCCAACAAAGCACTTTTGTTGTTTTATTGAACAAAGTGAGCTTTGTTATAAAAATGAAGCATATGCTTAAATCAATAGTTTAGGAAAAAAAAAGACTTTCCTGGGGTGGTATATCTTGACCCAGGAAAGTCATGAAATGATACCATGGCCGGTGTTGTTACTGCACAGTCAGTCATCATAGGTGTAAAATTAAAATTGTTGTACTTATGCAGTTCAGCAGCCAGCATGACTGGCTGATCTGTGTATGTGTCTCCTGTTGATGGGTCTGCAACTCAACACATTGTACTGGCAAACGTTATTTGACACTGTAGAAAGATAATGCCTGTCTTCCAGAGTCTTCTCCATAAAGGATGAATTTGTGGCATTCAGAACTAATAGTTGTTTCATAAACGGATTTTCCCTCCTGAGCTTTGGATCCTGCTGCTCCTCCAGTTAGACTGGCCTTCTTGACTGCATCTCAGATTGATGATTCGTTTGCTTAGGTTACAGTTGTTCCAAGCTCTTTCCATGTTAAGATGCTTAATTCATCAGATATTCTCTCGTAATCTGAACTTGTTTTAAACTTGACAGTGTTAATTAGGATATAATATACTGTCCAACTCTGGCTTTGAGAATTAGCCATAAATTGCTACTTCAAGATTTTTTTGAAAACTAACTTATGGACCTTTTAACTTCTGTACTTATTTTTGAGTGGCATCAGGGATGTGTAAGTTTGTGTAATAGCTGTTTTTAAAGGGTAATTACTGAGGACCAAGCTCTCCGTTTATCTCAGAATACTTTTAAAGATTGACGTCCTGCCCTATTGCCATCCAGTTTTTAATCTGTGAACACAGCGTGTGTTTCATATTTCGTGATGAACTCACTGCCAGTTCTGCCAAGAAAAAAAAAAAAAAATATATATATATATATATATATATATAT